TCGCTTATGTCTAGCTCAGATATAACTATCTATGTTTGTTATGACTCCTTTATATGAACATTGTGTCTCTTAATTTCCTCAGGAAAAAAGAGATTGCTTATCCCTCCTCATCATTCCATATACAGTTTACATTGAATTACAATCTCCTCTACTTCTTGAATGTTCCATACCTCCCAATTATCCCTGTTTAGGAGAGCCAGTCCCTATTTTAAGCCCAAATTCCCCTGTCTCTCTTTTTTATCCTAATGTCCTTAATTTATATGAGCTCTATATTGTTGGCATGTCTGTGTGTATATCAGAGCTCCACAGCAATAGTACTCACAGCAATCTATCTTAAAGTCGATCTGTCACTGTCTGGGGACTTTGCATAATTTACAAAGATCCATAATAAAGACATTGCTGTTGGTTTGGCGAGAGGCAGTTTTACTTACCTGAACCTGTCCCTTGTGGCACCATCATCATCTTCCTTATGCTCCTCTTCGTCAGCGTCACAGCTTCACAACGCTCAACAAAGGTAGCTCCGCTAAATATCAAACTTTGTTAGGTGGAGGAAATATACTGGGTCAAAGTAGTCCATCCCTTGTCTCAGTAAATCTTTTGACTGGGTTGGAATTTCAGGGAAATTCTAAAACAGTCAATATGAGTATTTCATAGAGATTATATCTTTGTGAAATACTTACTATGAGGGGTTGACAGTACTGCTTTTTGTCTCTCCCTGGTCACACTCCCACACTCCCCCTAAAATTAAAGTGTGTATTTGAAATGTTGGGATGTATGATGCTCAGTCTGCCTATAGCACAAAGAAACAGAATATTTTGTCAACATACAAAACTATAGTGCATTTTGTGAGCAAGTTGGCTGAACATAAATTAAGGGTTCCTTTTATGGAACATTTGCAAGAGTCACCTCCGGATGTTTACCGCTTAATCTCCAGCTGTACAAGGCGTCAACATCTGACTGGTACAATTGTTGATGACTTGGTATGATGCAGATTGGAAATCTTACGGAGAAGATGCTATTGAGAGTAATGGATGAGGGTGGCATGTATTTTACAATATTACAAATGCCATCAAAAGTAATCACACTTTTTAGGTGCAAAAGTGATGGTTTATTTAAATTAATAGGGAACTGTATTTATGTATTAGTCATGTATTGTATTAACATTTACTAATCACCAATAGATGAAAGTAAGCAGTAACATTTCAGAAGAATAAAATACACTGCCCAGCAGTATATGGTAAGAATGCAAAAATTATCAAATTAATAAAATAAAATGCAGTTTAGGTTTCCTAGTGTTTTCATAAGTAACTATTTATTTTGCCTCAGGTATAGTAACAAATAGAGTCGCCTCCTTCCCTATGGGGTCACATTCATATTTCCTTTTGGATCAGTTCCGACTTACCTGTAATTTCCTGTTCAATCAATTTTTGGGGTGAAAACAAGCGTTATGCCAACTTGGGGAAATTATGTTTAAGGTTATAATGTTAAGACAGGAGACTTCATGTGTTTTTTTTTATTATTAAAAAGAGGGTTATATTTTTGACAAGGAATGATCATGCTTCTCAATTTTAAATTAATCTCTTGTGTGAGGACATAAAGCATAAGGGAATTCCCCATAGGAAAGCATTTTATCAATGCTTTGCTATCGGAAGGGCCAAATGAACCTGCGGCCTTTGATGCACATGTGCATTAGCGCCCCGTATCTGATGACGTGGGAGAAGGCTGAGTGCCCACCCAACGCCAATGTCCCTTGGGTAAACACAGTAAGGGTGTTTTAACCTTTACTATGACAGGGGGATTGTGAGGGGGGCTTTAGGGAGCTATAATGCTCGAAATGCAGCTTGTATTCCTAGCACTATACTATCCCGTAAATGACAGCTCTCTGTACTCTACCCTTAAGCCACTGTTCTACCCAAGAGCAATACCTCATGTCCTATGTATAGTCCTGTTTGTAAATAGATTTTCACACAATGGTTTGTATTGGTCCTGGATATATTTGTATAATGTTATCATATCCCCTCTAAGGCAATGTTTTTCTAAACTAAACAGGTTTATATAGTTAGCCCTTCGTCATAGCTAAAATGTTCAATTCCTTTTATTAATTTTGTAGCCCACCTCCGCACTCTTTCCAGTGCCATAATATCCTTCTTTAGAACAGGTCCCCAAAATTGCACAGCATATTCAAGAAGTGGTTTTACCAGTGATTTATAAAGAGGCAAAATTATATTCTTATCCTGATAATTAATGCCCTTTTTTATGCATTATAATATCTTACTGGCCTTAGCCACTGCTGATTGACATTGCACATTGTTGCTTAGTTTGTTGTCTATAATAATTCACAAATCCTTCTTGTGTGTTGTTATCCCTAATTCACTACCATTTGGTTATAAGTTGCTTGTGCATTCTTTACGTCGAAGTGCATAACTTTTAATTTTTCTATATTAAATTTAATCTGTCATTTGAATGCCCAGTCAATCCTAATATCTCTGCAGCAAAGTGATATCTTGCTCACATTGTTATTATTATTATTATTTTATTATTTATATAGCACCAGCAGATTCCGAAGCGCTGTACACTTACGTTACAGAGTTTTGTGTAATCTGCAAACACTGAAACATGACTTTCAATGTTTTTTTTCAAGATCTTTTATAAACATGTTAAATAGAAATGGTCCTAGAACAGAACCCTGAGGGACACCACTTAACACCTCTGACCACCATGAAAATATACCATTAATGACAACTCTTTGTACTCTATTTTAAAGCCAATGTTCTACCCAAGAACAAGAATTGTTATCTGTTGGGGACTATACACGAAGACTTGATGAATACTGGCTGAGCCCCTCCCTCTTAGGAAACAGGATCCTGGAAATCAGTTTAGAAAACATAGATGTGTTCAATAACCAATTCAAATTTTATTTATACCCCAGTTATATTTATACCCCATTTTCATAGCAGGATGGGAGGGAGAAAAATGAGCATATGGGTGTGACAATGATGACAATGACATAGATTGTTTTTCACAAGTTATAAGCAGCTGTTTCTTGTTATTTCCTATGTTATATAACGCACGTATATTTGAAAAAAACAGATGTTTACAAATACCAAAATCTTGGACAATTTCAAAATCAGTATGGTCATTCTCATAACTAGGATTTTAGATAAATTTATTTCTGAGAATCGGAGATACAATTTCAAATTTATTCTTGGTTTAAATTAACCTTTATATGAACAGCTAGGATAGATAGTGAAATGGATATTTGTATCTACAATTCCCCTCTTAGATCATATCATGATCTACCTTACGGAAAATATCCATGGGAGGCCTGCAGCAGAGAGACAAAAGGAGGTATATTCAGACGTGCTAATCACGTCTGCGGGACTTTCATTATTTCTTCACCTCGATTTCCCCCATTTGCTCTGTGCTGTAGGTTTTCCCTTTAAGAGGAATTTGAGCCGTCGATTTTCAGCTTTTTCAATTATCTGTTGAATTCATCTTTTAAGCGTACAAGTTAAATATTTCAAACAGTTGACATGTTAACCACTTTTAAACAGACTGAACATCATGTTATCTGTAGCTTGAGCCTTGGGTCAATACAGGCAAAGTGTATTGTTCCCAACAACGGGAATATTATTATTATTTTTATTATTATTCGCAACGTAAACTCATATAGTCAAAATGGGGATAATTCCTCTTTGGACCAGGGTCTTGGATTACCAGTCCACCCGGTGATCTTGGGCCAGGTCAAAAAACCCAGTGGCAAAAACTCATATTTGAGGAAAAAAGCACATCTGGAAAACCCTGAGTGAGGGTCATGACTGTGTAGACATGTCATCCCCTCACATTGACAGCATTAGTAACTTATAAAACCCGCACTTGTAAGTAAATAGCTTGGGTATCGGGACTGGGAAACACTTCTTGATTAGTTTGAAAAGGACCATTTACATATTAAATCATGAGATAATTTATAATCAGTTTGCAATTCTAACAATAATCCCAATCATGACCTTGCATCCTATCTCTCCTAATCACATCCCTATTACGACGGTCCAGTCATATCCACACTTAATACATTGGAATCCATCCTTGGTACACTCCACATACATCAATGACACACATAGTACATCCATGCCTGAGTAAGCTAACACTTCCTCTCTCTCTGGCTAACTACCAAAATAAAAAATATAGTTCCATAGTCCAGCATAGTCCAGAAAAAAGTCTTTCAAGGAGTATAGACACCATAAACGTTGTTCCATAATCTTAGACACCATAACATAGCTAAGGGTAGCAATATGGCTGACAACAAGACAATGTCAGCTTCCACATAGTTCTTAATTCTTCTGTTTGCTGGATGTTCACCACAATGCTCTGTGCAACACCCCAATTGTTGAAAGGGATAATACAGAACTAGCAGCATTAGACAGCACTGCACCTTCAGGACTTTCCAAGTTAGTTCATGTCCTCATAAGTAAGCATCTCAGTTTCTTCGGCCAGCATTTGACCAAACAGATTTAATTGCAAATAGGTAGGTAAGTGGGTCAGCCAGAGAGATTGGTGTGTAGTCCCAAATATCAGGCAGCACAAATACTCCAGTACGGTCTCTATAATCATACAAACACAAGGATCAGTACGACATCAATAACTTAATTATCTAGGTTAAACTCAAATTAGAGACTAAAGTTAAACCCTTAACTTGTGTAACATGTACTTCTCTTAGCTTTGCTTATAATTCATTAAATTTGTCCTGTATGAATTTGTACACAATTTCCCTTTGAATGCCTTTTAATGGATGAGAGAAGCACTTACACTATATAAATGCTTGTTGGACAGGATGAGTACTAAAACACAAACATATACATATTGGAATAATTCCCAATAAAATACTGTTCTTAAACTTAAACCTTGATTTGATAATCTCAATTAATTACTTTAATAAAATTGGAATGCTGAAGTCTGTTAAAAATTTTGTGGACCCCGATAACATTTTTGGAAACCGAAACCTTTTATAGATTCCGATGTCCAAAAAGCCACCAATTCTGTATGTGTGTGATCATGTTTTAATACAGTACAGTTATCCCACTTAAACAATCTTTTATTTCCAGAACAACTAGGAATGAAATAGGAGAAACAAAATGAATTACTATTGTTCTAAAGTGCTTTGTTTAATACAGGTTTCGGAAGAGTTGTCTTGCTGTGTTAAGGTTGCAAATGGCCTCTGACAAGGAAGGGGCAGCAAACTGTAGACATATGTTATATTAAGTTGTCCTCACTTGTCAGGTCCTGGAAACCCACTTATTTTATTTATTTAACATGCTCTATGATACCACATTACAAGTGATTAAGCATACATATATGATTTTACTTTAGTTATTTCACATTGCACAGCCTATGCAAACAATATCTAGGTCCCAAATTCAGCTTGTCCATCCTCTAAGAGCCAGCATTAATACAGTTTTGTCACTCAAAACTATTTATAAAATATTAAAACATGAACATCTGTGTATTTGGCTGGGGTTGTTGGGTGTGGGTATAGGTTGGAAGCTGTGGTTGGTATTGAGGAACCTGCCAGGGTGGGTCCTTGAACGCCAGCTGGGTCAGGTTCTCCCTTAGCACCGGGTTCTCCTTTGTTTCCTTGAGCACCAGGTTCACCATTGTTACCCTTAGGAGCACCACAGGCAACAGGGAAGCTAGGGGCACCAGCAATACCTGGAGTACCAGTGGGACCAGCTTGACTGGGAGAACCGGGTTCACCACGGGCACCTTGGGATGAACCCCTGCTATCCACAATTAAAACAGTGTGTTCCACCAATGCTGAAGTTGCCACCTCTACAAAAGTTAGACCCTTTGATCAAATCCTCTACCTCTGCCTCTAAAACTTTTCTGATTCAATCTCCTATCACCTCCCAAATGTCCTTGTCTCGCCTGCTTAAGATCACAATCCTTTGTGATCGATACAACATACTTTTCCCTCTTTATTTATATCAAAACAGCCTGCTGTATCTTTCTCATGACTCTTCCCAAGAAATTCAGTTGGGGTCAAAGAGGGCCAGTTACAGACCAACAGTTTGACCAAAAGTGAACAAGGAGGAGGCATATTCCATATGCAGGTCGAGATTACCTAACTCATACCCCCCTCTTTGTGTACCCCTCTTTGTGTACCATACAGATATAATCTTAATAAGCTTTTGAAGATTTATTGTATATTTAAATTGTGTATGTATAGCACGGTTGTCTAGGGGTGTATACATAAACAGTGAAAGCAGAGTCTTCATATAGGGTTTGCAATACTGACAGTCTGGGTCATAGGGGTAATGCAGACATGCGGTTAGGTACTTTTCCATTGTCAGAATTCATTGAAAACACTAATATATTGCAAATATTAAAATCATATTGCACCTGTTTCCTATACCTGCAAGGATATGGTTGGAACAGTTCAATTGAGTTTAAATTGAGTATCAAAAGTCCAACCACAAAAACTAAACTTTATATGCTTATGTGTGGCGAAATTAACCTCGCCACTTGTGCCTGGAGAGGACTGCTTGCCAGCCTCTTGCCATGTGATTATGGTCCCTGGGAGGTTTGGCCCTTTAAATACAAGATTTGGGCATAATGGATTTTCGTTGTGCTGCTGCTGGCCCTTTAACTCCCAGATAAAGGATTTGTACTTTTAAATTGGCACTTCGGATGCAGTCAAAGTGCCAAAATAGTCAAAGTGGCCGCCATTTGAAAACCGAACACGTGGCGGTGGCCATTTTAATTTAGTCGAACGCGGTCAGCGGTGCGTGCCATTGAATCTATGTAACTAAAATTGGCTACGCATTTGCACGAACACCACTGACCCTTACCTTCTCAGGAACTTCGACGCTTCGGCTGGAATCGAAGTGCGTTCGACAATTCGAGCACACTGTTAGACTGGGTTATTTGCACGAATGGCCTCGTTCGTGCATTCGAATGGGACTTAGACATTTTTCTGTGTGAAATTGACAAAAGGTGACTTATAACTATCTCCAGAATGGCTGAACGGATTCGAATGATTTTTGGGTATGTTGGTATTTGAAATGTGCTGATTAATAATATGTGACTATTATTGCAGCTTTCCCTATTTATTAATATTGGATGTATAGTTTGAGAGTTATGAAAGTTGGGTAAAAAGTATGTTTTAAACTGTACGGCTAATTGTGTTACCTCTCAGGCTAAGGGGAGGGAATCTGTGGGTTGTAATCATTGTGTGATTGGGTAATTCCTAATTGTCTGTGGGTGTCTCTCTTGCATGGGAGAATTGCATAAAAGCAGAGTGTGTGTCATTAAAAATCAGTCTTGTTCCAGCATTAAGCTTTGGCTCATGTGTGGATTATTTGGCGATACCAGAGATTTATTACTCTGTGGATTACTTGGTGATTTTATTTTATGGGAAGAAGGGAATGCTTGACGGAATAAAGGATTGTACCGTCAGAGCTTATCAAAAATGAGTTTAACCCCTTAGCGAGTTAATAGAGTGACCTATCTTATAATCAAAAGAAATTGTCTTATCTCTATTAAAAATACCATTTCATCATTTTGCTATAATCAATGAGGCATACTAGATGAATCTTAATCTTGGAAAAAACCTATTCTATACATCCATTAATTTTTCTTTTTATATAACCATATAACATAACAATCTTTTATGTTAAAGATAACAAATGTTTCTTTTTCTTTGACTTAAATAATGCAATGCACTTTAAAAGTAGAGTTAACTCTAAATACTCCCCTAATGGAAATGTGGATCCACGATTTTGAAAAGCAGATTTTTTTCCAGGGGCCCCTTTTTCGTAAGGTCATCAGCATTTAATCTGTTGTAAAAAGACACTAAAGGCTTGCGTTAATGACATGCAAATATTCTTTAAATATTCTTCATACTCATTGTAATATCACACATGTCATCTTACAGCACAAAACACAATGAATGAAGCATATATCCAGCAGTCATGCCAATACAAAAAGCATATTCATGGACAGGCAATTAACTCAATCAAAAATAAATTAATAAATGTCACACTTGGTGTCCCTCAAAAGAAACACAGACATAATGTAGGTTCCCATGTTTGTGCATTATGCATTTCTGCAAACTATGCAAGCAGTACTGCTTTAAGATTAGATCAGAGAACCTGGCAACTGGACAGGAAAGTCGAATTTTGGCAAAAAGTCCATTATTGCAACAGAATTTTGGAAATCAGCTAAAACTTACAAAAACAGCCTCCCCCCTTTTTTTTTTCTTAAGACTACAACTCCTATTGCTCTTGGACTAGTATTCAATAATAAATCAGCTATTTAATAGATTATTACACTGCCATTTCCATCTGTATCAATACGGAGACAAACTTATTAAAATATAATTTAAAATAACACAGCAAAATACCCATTAACATATATGACAATTAAACTGCACACTTTAAAATGAGTATCCAAAACCCATATTTATCACAATCACCATTTACGCAGAATAAACTTTTAACAGCTGTATTCAGAATGTATTATTGTAAGGTATACCAATTTTAGTTTGTATCAGATTTATTTAAGAGTTCTGGTACCAAAGGTTTTTTTTTTTTTTTTTAAAGAAGGGATCCCGTACGGCCATATAATGCGTTTGACTTAAACATTTGTATAACACTTGCATTAACCAGTTGCAACGTATGTACCCTGTCAATAGAATTTCTCTCTTATACGCTTATAGAATATTTGGACCAGATTACACAGACATGGTATCACCTGCATTTGTCAGAACTCTCAAAGACTCAACATATTTATACTACTCCATGTTAAAGGCATGGCAAAATTTTGACCGGTCAATTTGAGTTCCCAAAAGTCATAACAACACAGGTAAAAATCTTTGTCCATGGTTTTCTGATTCTATGTTCCATGACCAAAAATTCAAACTCACTTCTGCACAGGGATCTACAGTTTTGGGTCACAATCAATAAAATCTCAACATCCCCATTAAACAATTTACAGATTTTCACAATGCTACAGAATACATACAATTTAAAGCATATACAACATGTGATGTTCAGGATCATTTCAAGTACCTGTAGCAAGCACAAGTCAGCTTACAGCACAAAATTAAGCATGTGTCGGACCGCTAAACATATAAATTTTGCTCTCTAATTTATAAACATCTACATTTACAACATAAATTCTCTGCAACAAACACACAGGGCAGAAATAATGTGGTGTTTGACGTTTTCAACTAATGAAGTGACTTTTTGTCCCAATATGAAAATAAAGGGCTCATCATTATACAGTCATACATGCAGAGAAACCATGTTAGTCCTAGAATTTGTAGCCCCCCTTAATTAACCTCTATTTTATTTCTCTTATTCATCATCACCTTCACATGTACTTTTGACATTCCCTTAACCATTTGATTCCTTTAATTCTTATCCCCTCTTGTTAAACAGGGTACAAGTGAGGGGCTATATTAAATCAACATACTGTTTGCAATTTTCCCCAGGATTAGGGGATGGATATTTTTTAGATTGGGAAGTACCCATTTCAGACTCAAAGAGAAATACGTTTTTATTCCGTTTAAAAACATGGTAGCCAAATCCTGTATGTTTTTTTTAAAATATAACTACCACTGCAGAATAGTTAAAACGGATTTCATCTTTTCTGTGTCCGTAATTCCAATCCCTTGCAAAGTTTTATATATATATATATATATATATATATATATATATATATATATATATTATTTAAAAAACACAAAAGCCAAACAGCAGATATATATCATAAGTAATGATGTCCCGAACGGTTCGCCGAACGGTTCGCCACGGACTCATCATTGAGTAAACTTTGACCCTGTACCTCACAGTCAGCAGACACATTCCAGCCAATCAGCAGCAGACCCTCCCTCCCAGACCCTCCCACCTCCTGGACAGCTCACTAAGAATGCAGCTTCACAATGAATGTAAAATGGATGCTGTCCTGGAGGTGGGGGGACAATTCCTCTTTGGTAGAGGTTCACCTTTGGCATTTGATAAAAAACAGATGTTTACAAATACCAAAATCTTGGACAATTAACAAGAACATTTCGAAATCAGTATGGTCATTCTCATAACTAGGATTTTAGATAAATTTATTTCCGAGAATCAGAGATACAATTCCAAATTTATTCTTGGTTCAAATTAACCCTTATATGAACAGCTAGGATAGATAGTGAAATGGAT